TTAAGAAATAACTACATTTGTTCTTAAAACATTAATCATAAGTTGTATTATTATTATTATTATTATTTTTTATTTTTTTGGAATGTACTTTCTAACGAACTCTTATTCTGATTTGCTTGTAATACTATGTAATATTATATAATCAATCTATTCTCAACCTCACTAATTATTTGTTTTTATTTTTTGTTTAATTAGAATTCAATGTTAAGGATAAAATTCGTGTTTTTCACTTAAATTAAAACCTTGATCATTCTAGCCAAGGCGAAGATCGCACAAGGTCCGATCTCGAGTTAGAAGGATTGAATTCCTTGACTCGAATTAACGGACCAACGTTCGCGCCGTTCTCGAGGAGAACGTTATAGCGTCGCAATGTGACGTTGACCTCATTTTGAAAGCCTTAACGCGTGAACGACTCGTTCTGATCGTCTACCGCGTGAAGAGCGAGAGGTTGCCTGTACGTTCTTCCGTTAACTCCTCCCTATTCCTTCCTAGATTCCATTGTTTTAAATAATAAACTCTTCACCTTTTGAGTAAGGAAATCCTGGGATTTGGACGTAACAATAAATATATATATATATTTATATATATATCGTAGATTAAAGTCACGTATGATATAGATATACATATTTTGTTTCGCTATTTTAAAAAATTGCATGAATTTTTTGAACAATCCAATAGACATATACGAGAATCGTATTTTGATAAGGTAAATTTTTGCGAGATAGTGCCACAATGAATTGTGTAGTATATGGCCGGGAAGTAACACTATTCAAACTGCCTCATATCAAGTTTCAGCCAAAAACGACGCTTACAGTTTACATGTGGCAGACGTTGGAAGTGAGCATGGCAGCAGTTGTCGTAAAAATGGAGAAAGAACGAATTCCGTGCAGTGATTAAACATTTTTATTTTAAAGAAATGGACGGCTGCGCAGATTAAAGCCGAATTGGACGAAGTTCACGGGGACTCTGCATTAGCGTTGAAAACGTTTATTTTTGGATTAATGAATTCAAAAGAGGCCGGACATCAATCAAAGATGAAGCGCGTCCCAGACGTTCAGTCCAGTTGAAATCACTACGCTAGAAATGATTGAAAAAAATCCATCGTATCGTCATGGAAGATCGCCGAATAAAGATGCGTGATATAGCTGAGATTGTAGGCATCTCAGTAGATAGGGTGCATAATATCCTGCACAAAGAATTAAAAATGAAAAAGCTTTGAGCACGATGGGTGCCGCGATTGCTGACCATAGATAAAAAACGCATGCGAAAAGACATTTCGTAGCAGTGTTTGTCGATACTTCAGCGCAATCCACAAGACTTTTGGCGTCGATTCGTGACCGTAGACGAGATTTGGACCCATCACTACACACTCGAGTCAAAACAGCAGTCGAAGCGTTTGGTGAATGTGCGCCGAAAAAAGCGAAGACTGTTTTGTCGGTCGGAAAGATAATGGCCACTGTTTTTAGAATTTCCAAGGAATCATTGACTACTTACAGAAGGGTCAAACAATCACAGGAGCATATTATTCTATACTTCTGAATCGTTTGTACGAAGAGCTGCAA